TCAACAGTCTTTCCCGCTCTTCCAGGCAATTCAGACACACAAAGGAGTTGCATTTATTAATTATTGTAAAGTATTTACTTCTGCATCCGTCTCCCTCAGTGGACTATGAATTCCTTCGGGGCAACTCCATGTTCATTTCATCCCTGTCCCCTGTCCTCAGCTCCCAGTGCTGTCCAAGAAGTGAGAGGACCGACGTCATGCTGGTACCCAGCTCTTTGGCTTGTGTCTGTAAGCTGTGGAACTCTTCTGTTAATAAACAATTCTACCTGGCAATTCTCTGGCCATGGGAGTGATTTCACATCTTAGGAGAAGTTACTCGTGACCATGTTCTCTTCTAGGACTTAAGAAAATAGAGACTGAGGCCTTCCTCTGTGGACATAATCCAGTCGCTCTCAGTCCTAGCGGGAGGTTTGTAATGTCTGTGCTCAGGACTGCAAAGTAGTTGGCACATTCAGAAGTCAAATAATTAGTATGGAGCTTTTCTAATTTTAAAAACAAACCCTATCATTTGAATTTTAAACACACTGTGATTTCCCAAAATATAAACTGCTCTAGTTTCTTATATTTTATTTTTAGAACAATGTGCAAAACTTGAGGTGAGAAAATACATTTTGTGTATTTATTTAAAATTCAGACCTGTTAATGGTTTGTGTGTGTACCAAATAGTATGAAGGTAAAAAAGAAAAAGCCACTTTAAAAATTGTCAGCCAAAGGACCAACTAGAAAAAATTTTTAAAGTTAAAACTACTCAATGTCAGAAGCAGATTGATTATTTATTATTTGCTTCAGGAAGGGGAAAGAGAATGAGAGGCCATTTAATGCAGTTATTGGAATGATACCTTGTTATATTTTTACCAACTGATCCAATAGACAACATGATACATTAATAGTTTTCATTTTCATTTTATTTTGTATATGTGCACATGTCTGTGGGGGGATGGGTGAGAATGTCTGAAATGCTGGGTGAAACAGACTCTCCTCCCCCCACCATGAAGGCACTTCTGGTAAATGGGTTGGATTTAGAGGCCGAAGCACTTGTTTAATTGAATAGATTTTGCTCCAAATTAATTATTTAAGTAACTGGGGGAATTTTGCCATTATTTTATTTAGAACTATGATACCTCGCTGCCTAAATGCAAGCCCATTTTATGAGCTATTTCTTCCCTTCTCTGTCCACTCTATGGCTCTGTGTTTTCTTCCATGATCTTCCTTTAGATTTTGTGATTGTGCGGTTTGGAACCCCTTTTCCTGCTGACAACAAGCTGCCTTGTAACTCGGCGTCTCCACGTGATTT